ATTTAGCTAATCAAACAGGCAGGCTTTTGAAATGATGAGTCATTTCTCAGTCCTTTGTCATTTGTTAGCTGGATAAAATGAAAGCGGTCTTGTAAGGCACTCAGATCTAAACAGTGTTTGTGCAGCCTAGATTATTAGGTCTGACTGTAGTTCATCAGGGCTCTAAAAATCAAGCTGTGTGCTTGCAGAGAAAGTTCAGAGTTATTTGTCACCAATTACCCAAAGCTGAGAGTTGATCTCCCACATAACTGGAGCTATTTCCTGTAAGTACTTGCTCCTGATTTTACAAGGCTGCTGCTGCTTGAGCCTATACCTTGGAAAATATGTGTCTACTACTGAAGAGCTTAGCTGCAGAAGTTTATATAGAGATAATAGTCTTCAGGGACATCAGGCACCATAGCTTTAACCTGTTTTAAGAAATATCGGTTCTTCATTTCCAGACAGCATTCTCCAGCTCTATTAGATTGTCTTTGCCAAAGGAAAGCAAATAGGAAAGGACACATCTATGCATATGACATATTTACATGAGCTGATTTCATTTCTACTACAAAATCTGTATTGTTTCTGTTCAGAAGAGCAGCATAAGATTGAGTTACCAAGTATAGATTTCCTAGAAGAAAACAAGCTTTCTCAATGTGAAGTGGAGATAAAAACAAGCATAGGAAAAAAATTAAAAGGAAACTGCCAAAAAATTGAATATAGAATCTGTTCAATTGGAAAGAGCAATAACTAACTGAAACAAAAATCAGTTACCATTGAGTCAATTCTATGTGATGGCAACACCATATGTTTCTGAGTAGGACTCTACACCAGTGAATTTTCAGTAGATTTTCAGGCTGGCTTCTGAAGAACTTGAACCTCCACTCTTGCAGATAGCAGCCAATTATTCAGCCATTTGGCTCTCCAGTAAGAAAAAGTTACTCTATTCGGTGTAAGGTAAAGATCAGAAATGAACTCTTCGAACCTTATTCAACTTTAAAGAGATTGAAGTGGACTGAAAAGTGTATGACTTGTGAGTCAGAAAAACTGGAATTCCTATTAGGCATAGGGGTTCTTTGGGGTGTTTTTTTTCCTTCCATAAGCATAAGTTTTGCCATCTGTAACATGAATGGGCCGTCCCGCCTAACCTATTGTATTATTTAAAGAGAGAACTATGTGTTTTCTTCATAAGATGTTCACATTCATAGCTTCATTTCGAAAGTTTCAGCAGTCAACGTTTATTGATTGAATTTTGCTGAAACAGAACACAGCTGAGATTTTTTATTTTTTTTAATAACTCAGAGTTGCCTGAAGAAACTTAACTAAGAATTACATAAAATGCTTCTCCTTAATGACACAGCCTGGGAAGGACTTCAGCTTGGTAAGATAGCTCTAGTTAATGAGATGGAATCTGCTTTGAACTAAGAATGTTGCTTTCTCTGCCAATAGCTGTGTCTCTGACACTGGTTCACAGAAGTGAGGGTGGGCGAGACTCTAATACAGGTACCAGTGGCATCGGCTTTGTATGAGAGAGCCCACACGCTCACTTATTAGGCCTCATTCTGAACCTCCAGAAAAGAGAATATGCAAACTGGATAGAAAATACCTTTTCACTGTTGTTAAGTGAGTTCTGCCTCAGTGACTCTGTGAGCAAGAATGCGGAGCCTTCATCCCATGTACTTCAGGCACGTTGTTGGGAGAGGACAGTCAATAGGAAAAGCCATCATGCCGGGTGAGGTCACTGAAAAAGATGATGAGGCTCACTGAGATGAACTTGACCCAGTGACTCTACCAATGGACGGTGACATTTACAAGGATGATGGCAAATAGACAACTTAAATCGACTGTGTCATGGTTAGCTGTGAGTCGCAGTCAACCCAGAGGTGGTTAACAACAACTCCATTTGTTGTTGTTGTTGTTATGTGCCATCGAGTCGTTTCCGACTCATAGCGACCCTATGCACAACAGCTCTAAACCCTGCTCTATCCTGCGCCAACGGCACCGCCTCTGACACACCCATCCCGATTACCCCAGTCACCGAATCAATCCATCTCATAGAGGGTCTTCCCCTCCTGCGCTGTCCCTCCACCCTCCCAAGCATGATGTCCCTCTCCAAGGACCCGTCCCTCCTGGCAACATGTCCAAAGTATGTCAGACGAAGCCCCAGAATCCTTGCCTCCAAGGAGTAGCTTGGTTTAATCCTCTCCAAGATGAATCTGTTTGTTTTCCTGGCAGTCCATGGTACATTCTCCAGCACCACAGCTCAAAAGCATCCACTCTCCTTCTGTCCTCCCTAGTCATTGTCCAACTCTCTGATGCATAACAAGCGATTGCGTGGAAGGAACCGCTGGAGAAGCTCAATATCAGCTGTGAAAACTAGGCCGGGGGCTGATTGTGGAACAGACCACCAATTACTCATATGCAAATTCAAGCTGAAGCTGAGGAAACTTAAACCAAATCCACAGGAGCCAAAATATGACTTTGATTTCATACCACCTGAATTTCAGAATCATCTCAGGAACAGGTTTGAGGCCTTGAACACTAACGAGCGAAGACCAGATGAGTTGTGGGAGGATGTCAACTCCATTTAGCTTCATTAAATTGTGCTTTTGAGGAATTTATCCATTTCATCTAAGTTTCCAACTTTACCGGGAGGGGGGGGAGGGTGTCCATATCCCATTGAGTCAGTGCCAACCCATATCTGACCCTCCAGTGGGTTTTAGAGGCAGTCAGTCACACAACAGAAGATTGTTCATCCTTCTCCCATGGAGTGCTTGGTGCGTTCAAACGGTATGCCTTTGAGATTGTAGAGCAACTTCTTACCACTAGACCACCAGAGAAGATTGTTTAATAGTAGCCTCTAACCACTTATCTGCAGTCAACAGAGAAAGACTTTTTTAATCATCCTTAAGTAACTTTTTGTAAAATACAGTTACTCAAAGATTTTTGTTTTGTGTCAATATGGAGAAAGTAGGATATAAGACATTTTTTTACATGTATTGGAATACAAAGTTTTGTTTGATTTGCAATTTTTTAAATCAGTATTAAGGAATATTTAAAGCCTGTAAAAAGGAGGTAAATCTCCTGTTTTGAAATGTCTGGGAATCTTATTTCACATATATTCCCCTAGAGATATTGTCTTGTCAAGGCGGAAACCCATCCTAGGAGTCTAGATGTGAAATAATGCTTGCAGAGTTGTAGCTCTGGAGTTCTCTACTAATTTAGAGAACTGACAGCCGCTATCTGATAACTACGTACTTACTGTCTACATCAGGGAATGAAGGCCATAATGAGAGGACTTAGCTAAACTGTTTGTTTAACGATTACATAAATATCTATAGCATGGTGAAATGAATGCTTGAAAGAAGCTCAGAATTAGCAGTGGCCAAAAAGTAAGATTTATAACCATCGTCCACGGGAGATTTATTTCCGCATGCTGTCATTCAGTCACTGAACAATTATTTACTGAGTGACAGGCGTTGGATTCGGTGTTGAGATGTAGAGAAAAATGAAGCTCAGCATTACAAGGATGATGATGTGGGTAATTTTGATAGAGGAGCAACAAATGTCAGGTGAACAAAGATGAAAGGGTACAGATATGCTCTCTGAAACTCTTCCATAGAAAGCTGGACTATTTATACCGCCACGTCTTTCAGTAATTACTCTTGGTAGATTTGAATCGTACTTCCTTGTCTTTAGTAGCTATGTATGGCTTCTGTTTGGGGTTTGACTTAAGGTTTTCATTAGGACTGTCTGTTTGTAATAAATAGGAACGATAATTAAAATAGGGATATATTTATTCTAGAGATACTTTATTACTAAAACTCTCCATAAATATTGAACAACCAACTTCTGAGTTAGTCTCTATTTTGATTGTTCTCTTGATTCAGAATTATGATGTCTCTTAAGGGACACTGAAATACAAAGATAAAGCAAATGTAGTAACTTAGAAACTGTGTTTTTATACATGGTCTTAATATTAAGTAGCAAATTAAGAACAGCACAGACCCAGGAGCCTGTTCTTTTCCATCAAAACGATTCCTCTTACCTTTATGAAATGAGACACCTTGCTCATTAAATGAATCCGATTCCAAACTTCAGTGATGTCGGTCAAGTTTAAAGCCTCAGGAATATATTTGATCCTGTAAGAAAATTCCATTCTCAGAGAGTGCAGTTTTTTAATTTCTCGTGGAGCATACGTGTTAAAAACAGCAATGAATGTTGCTCCATGCTTATGTAGATGAGCGTGATGAGCGTGTAATTTCCACAGGCAATCTTTTATTCATTTCCGAAATGCATGTCATTCTCAATATATTATTTACTGGAAATTACAGTTTAGCCAAAAGTGATTTGACTGTTTAGTAATTCATCTCAATGATTAGAATTTTGGACTGTTGAAGATATTACAGAGAAAATACTGACCTGACACGACACGACATGACAATAGAATGCATAGAATGGAGGAAGGGAATAAACATGCCTTCAGGAGGCCTTGTCACGGTCAATTCTAGATGCGAAAATGACAAAATCTTAGTCAATCCTGAGCGGTGTGGTATTCATATTTCTTACATTATTCCTCTGTTCTTGGTTGTATTTTAGGTAGAAAAAATATATACTGCCAACAATTAATACATGATTCATTCATTCAACAAATGTTTCTTGAGAACCTACTACGTGATCAGTGCTATCAATGGGGGGGGGGGGCGGTGGAAAGAGCCATCATTTGGAATTCCTGTCATTGTTTAAGTGTGAATTATGAAAGATTTAGAAATTGGATACAGAGTGTTTAAAGGGGTTGAGGGCATGGGGTGAAGTCACCGACACTTTGGATGTGGGGCTGCTGGTAGTTTTCATTTGGAAGCAGAGCTCGTCGTGGGCCTCTAGGAACTGCTTATTTTTGGTCAAAATCTAATCTACATTTAATTATTCACTCACCATGGGCCACACTGCTAACTCAGGATCTACTTTGCTGTTATGAACCCTGAGCTCATGTGTCGTTTTTTTTCTTTGATTCCCTCTAGTATATGACCGCTGCCGCTCCTATGCAAGGGACCTACATTCCCCAGTACACGCCTGTGCCTCCGACAGCTGTCTCTATCGAAGTAAGTCCATCTCTGTCTTACAGGAAGAGGTGAGGAGAGAGAGATCTCAGGCACAGACAGAATGCCCACCACCACCTAAGGAATCCTCATGCATGAGTTCTGTGCTGCTCTTCCATTAAGTTCAGCAAAGGAAAAATACACCTAATCCTCACTTATCAACTAGCTCATTACCTAGTGTTTCCAATTTTAACAACAGTAAGAGGCTCTGTACTTACATGATACACTGACAACTTCACCTGGTATGAATGAAAGGCAAGGTCCCTGGCAGGATCAGTGATTGTACACACCTAAAAGGAAAGTTGATATTGCGGTGTTGCATGCTAGGGTGGGTAAGGGGGTGAGGTCTCTCTAAGCCACCAGAAGCAAGTGTGGGGCCAGCAGAGAAAGGCTGCTGCCTCTGGGTCCTGGTTACCCACAAAGGGCTGACGCTTGACCAGTGGCTGCTGGCTTCATGAAGGTGGACTGTCCTCAGCGGTGAAGAAATCAGACCCAAAGATTTGGCCTCATCTCCCAGCCTTGAGAGGTGACAGGGCTAGATCACACTGTTGTCAAGGAAACCCTGAGATGAGACTCTGAAGTACCCAGAGCCCATATGACCCTGTAGCAACTGGTCAATGTTTGCACAGCTCTTTGATGTCCCCTCCTGTGTGGGCACAGCCAGGGGAGGGCAGGGCAGGATGCTTGAGCAGGGTTTGGATCCGTGGGTGAGTGGCCTGCCACACCTGCAGTTTAAAGTCAAAGGCAGAAGCCTGGCCACCCCAGCTTCAGAGGAAGCTGCTTTGAATTGTCGGTTCTTAGGAGGTCTTGAGTATGGACAGGGCCACCTAATGTGAGTGGGAACTTGCCTGAGCCAGAGCTGGTGGGAGGACCCAGCAGGCAGCATGGCCCACACACAGTACCCAAGTCCATGTGCCTGCAGACAGGAAGCCTTCTGCCACTGACAGAGTCACCAAGTGCATTTGGAGATTGTTGAAGAGATGAGACAGGGTTACCCATACAGTGACGCTAGGAGAAGGAGGAGACTCAGAGGAAGTGGAGGGTGGTACATGTGTCCTTGTTTTTAAACACTAAGCTCTCCTGAGCTAGCATCAAAGAAGGGAAGAAGAGAGAGGTGATGACCACAATGATGACGTCACGTGACATGGGAGTGAGGTCACATGATCCTCTTCCATTCTCTTAGAACTTGGATTTTTCACATATGCTTTGGTCGTTGGAACCTATCTATGCTGGTGAGGAGTAGGTGTATGCTTATCTCCTCAAAACATCTGAATTTTGCTTTGCAGGTGAAATGAGTGAGTTTGTCAAGGAAATGTAAAGAGAGTTGGATATTTTCATGTATAAAGAAAAGACCAGAGACCAAATGACAGCCTTATAAAACTAGACCCTTATACATATTGATGTTGTTAGGTGCTCGCCAGTCAATGCCAACTCGGCGTGCCTCTGTGCGTAAGTGGAAACATGGTCCAATCGGCACCCTCTTGGTGGTCTCCGCCAGGTGGAAGCCCATGGTTAGAACCACGGTGCCAGTCGATCCTGGTGAAAGCCGTCTTCTCCTTTGCTCTATTTTTCCACACATTATATCCTTTTCCAAGGGCTGGTTCCTCCTGATACTGTGTTCCAAAAGTAGGTGAAATGAAGTCTCATCACCTTGGCCTTGAAAGAACATTCTGGCGATACTTCTTCCAAGGTAGATTTGTTTGTTCTCTTAGCCTCGTATGGTATATTTACGACTCTCTATCAACACCATTGTTCAAAGGCTCATAAACTGGGAGAAAAAGAAGAGAACGAATGCTTGGTGCTGTTTTACAAAGCTGAATATCTACAACCAGTGGTTTTGAACCAGTATCATTGGCTTCACTCGGGAGTTTGGTGAAGGTGGCTCAAGTGGTGTGAGCCTGACTGCTGGCATAGAGTTTGGCAGTTTGAACCCACTCAAAGGCACCATAGAAGAAGTGCCTGGTTTTATGCTTCTATAAAGGCAAGAACACCCAAAGGAGAAGTTCTGTTCTGAAATGCAGAAGGTTACCATGAGGTACAATCAGTTCAACAGCATTTTTGGTTTGTTTTTATGAGACGGTCTTGGGGGTGTGTGTGAAGAAATGCAGGCCTTCAGACATTACACAGAAAACAGGGTCAGAATCTACATTTCTAACAAGATCCTTAGTGAACCAAATGCATACAAAAAGGTCAGAGACGCTGGACTAGCATGTTGCTTCTCAAACTCTCCCACCTACTGTCATTATTTTGAAAACTTTAAAAAGCAGTGATGCCCGTGTCCTGTTTAGCAGAGATTCTGACTTGTCTGAGGAAAGGCCTGGGCATTTGGATTGATCAAATCTCCCAAGGTGATTCTCCCAACTCTTGCTCCCACGGAGCAGCTGGTGGGTTTGAACCACTAACCTTTTTTAATTGGCAGCTGAGTATTTAACCACCATACCACTAGGGCTCCTGTCCTTGTAGTAATGGTCTACGCAATCACTCCTGCCTCTTTTAGAACCAAACTCGAGTTCTGTGGTGACAATCAGCTCCCGAAATCCATCCCCCTGGACATTTAGGAGAAACGACCGAGTAGACAGGGTCAGGCAAAGCCAAGCAAAATTAAGGACAAGCTTTGCTTTTTTCCTTTATGAAAGCTCTAAATGAATTAGTCATTACTCTGCAAACCAAAACAAAACAAAGCAAAGCACTGAAGGAAAAATCGACAGAATAGGGTCCTTGAAAATGGAATTCAACCTTTGATATAGACTTTTTATTAAGGTTGAGGTCACTACTTTACCAAAGCACATAATGCAGTGCACACCTCCAGGTAGATGTCTGTTCTTTAGAGGAAGCCTGTGTGAACTTTCTAATCTTTAAATTGTTATTTGATGTGACTATGTGGCTTGGTCTGTGGGGAGTTGTACTGCTTACCCAAAGTCAGCACCTCTCTGATGGTTCAAATCCACAGGTGGCTCCGAGGGTAGAAAGATGGGCAGTCTCCTCCCTATGTGATTGACAGCCCTGGAAACCAATTGCGGGGGGAGGGGAATCAACTATGATTTAGTCTAAGTCAGCTGCAAATAGAGGCGTGGAACTGTGGTTTAAAAGTGCTAAGTATAGACAAAGTCGTTCCCTCCCATTCAGCTCCGAGGACTCCTGGAGGTAAGATTCTTAGTGGCCTGTTGGGGTCACGTACTTAGTCTCTATCCCGGTGGGCTTAATGGTTTACCTCCAAGAACTTCGCATAATTACTTCTGGTCACAGAGAGCAGCGACTCGCTGCAGCTCAGCTCTCCCCGAGTCAGAGATGAGGGCTCTTCTTCCCAGTCCATCTGCAGGAGAGACTTGCTAAAACCAACCAAGTCTTCTGTGTTCTTATATCCCCCGTAGGGCGTTGTTGCTGATACTTCTCCACAGACAGTGGCACCATCGTCCCAGGACACGAGTGGTCAGCAGCAGCAGATCACGGTGGACACGTCCAGCGAACATGCACCTGCATATTCTTACCAACAGTCGAAGTAAGTGCAGGTTCTGCTCAGCTTTTGCTTTGAAGACCAGTTGTCTTGGTGCGACGCTCTCATGTTGCTGTACGGCAAATCCACCCCAAAATGTAGCACACAGTGTTTATATAGCATTTGACTGTGTGGGGGAGTAGCTTGGGCTGAGTGCTCATGGATGGCTCTTCTGAATGCAGTCAAGCCTCGGGAAGTACCTGCCACCCCTGCAGCTCCGCTTCAGGGTGTCATCTCAGAGTCAGGCCACATGCTTCTCATCCTAAAGCAGGCCATGTGCTAGGGAACTCTGTTGGCTTAGTGGCAAGAAGCTGCACTGCAATCCCAGAGGCGTGTGGTTCAAATCCACCAGATGCTGTGCTGGAAAAGGAAAGACAATCTTCTCCTGTGCCAGTCAGATCTGATTTGATGGTACACACACAAAAAAAAATTCATAAAATTTTTAAAAAATTTTAAAAATCCCACAACCCAAGTGCTTTGGAAGAATCTCTCAGAAGCTCCATTCCATTTGGCACATCTCATGGCATGACCTACATCAGAATCAACTAGACAGCAACTAGTTTGGGTGGCAAGGCCACCTAAGGACACACTTATTTCACAAGCATTTGTGGAAAAGGAGAAACACAATAGGTTTATACAGCTTGAGTCTATAAGCTTGATAGAAATGCAGCTCTGTTCTTTGAGTTTACCATACCTTACTTGAAAAATGCAGTCAATAGGTTTGACAGTCTCTTCTAACTTGTGTCATTTCCATTTTGAACTCCAGCCTCAAGTGAGTATCTCTAAAGTTAAAGACTACAGATTCAGATTCGATAACTTTTTTTACGTTGTTCATGTAGTGTGCTGTTATGTGCTGTCAAATTGCTTGCGACTCATAGCGACCCCATGTACAACAGCCCTAAACCCTGCTCTATCCTGTGCCCATTTTATTGTCTCCGACACAAATACCCCCATTACTACTGTGACCAAATCAATCCATCTCATTGAGGGTCTTCCTCTCCTGACCTGTCCCTCCACCCTCCCAAGCATGACGTCCCTCTCCAAGGACTGGTCCTTCCTTGCAACATGTCCAAATTATGTCAGATGGAGTTTCAGAATCCTTGCCTCCAAGGAGCAGCCCAGCTTCACCCTCTGCTGGATGAACTTGTTTGTTCTCCTGGCAATCCATGGAATATTCAGAACTCTTCTCCAACACCACAGCTCAAAAGCATCAACTCTCCATCTATCAGCCCCGAGTAGTTCTAAGTATTTTAGCCTAGTCACACAACTTGGGTACTCCCAATTTCACAAATGAAAGTTCATTCCCAGCATCCATTAAGCTAATTAACAAGCCACTATTTTCATCAGACAATCCATTTCTAACAATCATTATGCTAATTGAGATATAGATAGCTTAAGAACTTGCACAGACGTCTGCCCCATTTCATTAAAGGCAAGCTGACCTCCTGAGGGGGATGAAATTCTGATTAGTGCCCCCTGAAAAGTAGCTAAACTCATCACGCATGCATTTATGTCACAATGTCTATACTGTTGGTATTTGGAAGGAAATGATAACAGAAGATTGTAGAGAAAAAGTCTGGCAGAAAGAGTGAATCTATGAATAAAGGGATCTGTGTGGGAGCTTTGTCAGCAAACATTTTAATACTTCTAATTCCTCTTTGTAACATGAAGAACAGGTTCTCATATTTCACATTCATGCTTCCCACACACACACACCTTCCACAATAATTAAAGAGGCTTACTATGCAAACAGAACTGAGCACTTTTAAGGGGAAAGCAAAATTGCTTTGTTCACTTGGAAAATTCTATGATCTATCGGTGGAGCTCCCCGATGAAAACAAGCTTGGAAGCAGGAGTGGCATCCACTTCCGAAATAGCTTATCTCCGGAAACTGTATAAGCCTGAAGAAAGGACGGAAGTTACACAAGTGTCCAGATCATTCATTCATAGGGTCACTACGAGTCCTCTACGACTCAGTGGCACTTAACAACAATCCAGATTATTGTTGGGGTTTTTTTTCTTGTTCTATAGGAAACCTTAATATGAATAGAAGCAAAGTTCAATTGTAATACAGAATGAGAAGTGCTTGGTTCACCTTCTGCCTTTACCCTTAGTAATTGTCATGCAACCTTTGTGAGCTGCTTTCCTCATTCTGTAAAGTGAGACTCTGACTAGCGTGTCCTGAAGGGTCTGGGAGGGGTCCTGGTGGCTCAGTGTTTGTAACACCTGATTGCTAACCAAAAGGTCTACAGTGAAAATCTGCAGCCTCTGAAGGTGAATTATGTGACCGTCATAAAGACTGTTGTTACTGTTGTTGGATGCCCCCAAGTCCACCGTGACTTACAGCAGTGACCCTGTGAACCTCAGATCTGAACGTGCCCTGTCCCCTGACTTGCCCAATCTATCTCAACAGAAGGTGTCATCTTCTCATTCCTTGACCCTCAGCTTTGCTCATCAAGGTGTTTTTTGGTTGTTGTTTTGCTTTGTTTTTCTTAGGACTGGCCCTTTCTGACAACATGCCCAAAGTCTTGAGATGAAGACTTACCGTCCTTGCTTTGAAAGTTCACTCTCATTGTCCTTTGTTCAAGATAGCTTTGTTTTGGGGGCAGTCTGTTATAATTAAAGATTAAGCCTGGGAAACCCTCTGTGGTTATGTACAGTCAAGTTGACATCAACCCATAACGGACCCTCGAGCGGGTTTTCAGGGGCAATAAAATCACAAGAGAGGAGATTGCACATCTCACTCTAACAGACCAGCTGGGGGATTCGAACTGCATGCCTTCAGTTGGCATTGCAGCTCCTTACCCCTCAGCCACCAGAGCTCCCCAGGAAACCCTCTAAGGGAGTTCGATTCAGAATTCAGTAGAAAGCAATGAGTTAGATTTGGACTGGGGAAAGGCTATAAAAACAGTTCCAGTAGCACAGTGTAAGAGTGATTGGAACCCATCAGGGGAATTGGCTCAAGGGGAGAGGGTCGGGTTTTGATTTAAATGTTGTACATTCCATCTTTAATACTACTAAGGGCATCTCTACCCCCATGCCCTGGGTATAGGAAAAGAAAAACATTCCCAGGGAAATGGAATTGTGAAAATGTGCTTTAAATGCTGTGAGATGAATACCTTAATTTCAGTTCTCATCCACTATATTAAAATAGTCATGGGCAAAGTCTCCCAGAGGGCCAGATAAAAACTTGACATGCTTTGCATTTGAAGGTTTAAGGTGTGTGCTGCCCTCCTCTTATGGAAGACAACTGTATAAAGTACAAGTGTGTACACTTGTGTAATGTTTATTAGTTGCATTAATATGCAGCAGAAAAGCTTTCTAATTTTGTAAAAGTGTTTATCTTTAGCAACAAAAACATTTTCTGTAGGGCAGTGAGATGACTTTGGAAACAAAATAAGTTGCAACCAAAAAAGGGAAATTCCTATGAAAAAGGTAATGTCTCTGAAGCAGTTTGCAAGCCCTAAAGTATGGTCGAAATCTAATGGATTTGCACTCACTAGCTTGAAGGACATATATTGGTGGTAATAAGGACATATATTGGTCGTGCACATCATTAATACATTGAAATGTATAAGATATTGGTGGTCAGGTGTACTTTCTAGCGTTAGTAAAGAAATGGATGAAGTGAGGAAAAGACTTAGCAAGTCTGCAGTTGATATGAGGTCTTCCAAGGTCAGTAAGAATGTTGGGAAAGCTAGGTATTTTACTGAATTTAAGAACATGGGATAAAATGTTAAGCTATCCATCTCCTTTTCCTCCTTCCCTCACCTTCTACAATAATAGTACCTCTAAAAAAAGAAAAGGAAAAGTTAGTAGAAAACTATAATCTTAGAACTCTTCAGAGCTAGAAGTCTTAAAATTTAAGATCATACTATTCCCATTTTTTTACACATTAGCTTCATGTGATACTATATGAAAAGAGGACATTCATAGCTCAGTGTTTGAGAAATACTTACAACGTGTGGTGAGTCTATCCCACCCTGAATTGTAAAACCATTTAAAGAATAGAGTTGATGCATTAACTCTTAATGACCAAGACCAGATGAGTTTTGGAATGGTATCAAGAGTATCATCCATGAAAAAAATCAAGTTCATTACAAAGATGGAGAGAAAGAAAGGAACAAAACAGATGTTAGAAGAGACACTAAAACTTGCACAAGAACCTAGAGGCAAAAAACAGAGGGAGGAACATACTGAGATAAGATTGTTCAACAGAAAATGTCAAAGGGTGGCTTGAAAAGACATAGCCACGTACTATAATGAAATGTGCAGGAGTGTAGAATTAGCAAACCACAAGAGGGAAGAACACGTTGAGCATTGCTCAGGCTAAAATAAGTGAAGAATAATTCCAAGCCTTGAGTCCAACTATTGAAGGATTCTATGGGAAACATCTTAAATGATGCAGAAAGTATCAAAAGATGGAATTTAAAGTCAGTGTATGCAGGTGTACACATTTGTACTTCATACAGGACAGAAAAGGTAGGCAGGAGTGGATTCAGATCTATTATATATCAACACTCTTTTCAGCATGTAGCTAGCAATCATGAAAATATAAAGAAAAAGAATTTATTTCTCATTTATTTTCATATAGCAATAAAGCCACCCTAAAGCCAAATAAGTGGAGGCTATTGAAAACATGTGTGCAAAATGATAAAACCTGAGTGTAGCTACAGCCTAGCTCATAAATACAGATGAATCTAAAAGTAGTACTTGCAAGTAATTCTGTGTCAGTTTAGTACATTGAGTAAGATGCCATTCATGAAAAGCCATTAGAGAGATTGATTATGGTTTAGCTATTTTAACTCAGTGACTGTGGAAGATGGCGGTGGAAAAAAGTGCAGACCAAAACACACAAACCTGGATATTTTCCCTTAAGTGACTTAGAGAAATAAATGGAGCAGCTCTATAATTTACAAAGTATAGTAAGAAACTTAAAATTGAGGCCATAGCTCCCATGACAACTATGAGTAGATCCCCTTTATTGTTGCTACTTTTATCGAAAGTGGAATTGCTTTCCTTCTTTGAAAAATCTCTACTTTCTCTTGCAGTATAAAAAGGGAAGACAAAGAAACCTCTTCCTACCAGTGACCTACATTATTGATTAAAATTGACAGTATACATCCATCAGCTAGTCACTTTCCCTGCATGATCTCCTCATAGCTTAATCTGGTTCACAATGGTTATAATTAGATTTTTGTTTGCTTGCATATTAGACTGAAGGGGCCAAATGTAACGTGTTGTTGTTGTTATTATGTGCCGTCAGGTCACTTGTGACTCCTAACGACCCTATGTACAACAGCCCTAAACTCTGCTCTATCCTGTACCAATCGCACCGTCTCCAATACACCTGTCCTGATTACCCCAGTCACTGAATCTATCCACCTCATAGGGGGCCTTCCCCTCCTGCACCGTCCCTTAACCCTCCCAAGCATGATGTCCCTCTCCAAGGACCGGTCTCTCCTTACAACATGTCCAAAGTAAGTTAGACGGAGCCTCAGAATCCTTGCCTCCAAGGAGCCACCCGGTTTAACCCTTTCCAGGACAAATCTGTTTGTTTTCCTAGCAGTCCATGGTATTCTCAATACTCTTCTCCAGCACCACAGCTCAAAGGCATCAATTCTCCTTCTATCCTCCTTGGTCATTGTCCAACTCTCTGATGCATAACAAGTGATTGCAAAGACCATGGCCAGTATCAGACACACCTTAGTCTCCAGAGAGACACCATTGCTCTTCAGTACTTTGGAGAGGTCCCTAACAGCAGACTTTCCCATCGCAATACATCTTTTAGTTTCAAATATTAGGCTTCAGGAGAAGGCAGCATTCTACAAATTAGAATGAGACCTCCACGCTCAGGGCAAATACACCACTGATACACACATAGATTGAAGAGCAAACTGGGACCTGATGTAACTCACTTCCTCACACAATCCTGAGTTTTGTATAGTTAACAACCTATCCCAACATACCCAGTACTCTTGATTTCTTAAATACAGCCACTGGGTTACAAAAAAACTTGAAGGCTTTTGCCTATCATTCTGTTCCTTGACAGGAGTGATACTTATCTAAATATGACTTAGAGATGGTTTAAATAACTTGTTTAACACATTCCTGCCTGCATTTAGCAAAAATCCTAATTTGTTTAGCAAAATAACTAAGAGTAAAGGCCACCTCACTAGAAACTCATCCCTGCTGGGTCTCATCTTGGAATGCTGTTATGTACCACTGAGTCAGACACCCCCCAGAATATACCCTACAATGGGTTTTCAGAGGCTGTAAATCACTCGAGAGGAGACTGGTCATCTTTATTCCTCTGAGCAACTGGTGGATTTGAACTACCTGCCTTGGGTTACCAGGGCAGTTCCTAACTCTGGTGCTCTAGTGGTAAGCTAGACTGCAGTCGCAAGGGACACAGTTCAAATCCACCAACTGCTCCTGGGAGAGGAATGGGCAATCTCCTCCTGTGTGATTAACTGCCTCAGAAAACGAGCTGGAGGGTCAGTTCTGACTCAGTCGTGAACAGTAACAATAAGAAGCCCCCAGGGCTCCCTAGCATCTGAATCGAACTTAGTTTTCATTGCCTGGATGATATTTTAACTTTCCCACGGATTCTTGGCATAATTCTATTGTTATTATTTGCCATCAAGTTGCTTGTGACTCATAGCGACCCTATGAGAGCCCTAAACACCATTCTATCCTGTGCCAACCTCGCTGTCTCAAACACACTCATTCCCACAACCCCAATCACAGAAACAATCCATCTCATCCAAGGTCTTCCTCTCCTGCATCGTCCCTCCACTCTCCCAAGCATGATGTCCCTCTCCAAGGACCAGTCCCTCCTTGCAACATGCCCAAAGTACGTCAGACAAAGCTTCAGAATCCTTGACTGCAAGGAGCATTCTGGCTTCACCCTCTCCAGGAGAAAACTGTTTGTTTTCCTAGCAGTCCATGGTATATTCAACACTCTTCTCCAGCACCACAGCTCAAAGGCATCAATTCTCTATCATCCCTGTTCACTGTCCAACTCTCTGATGCATAGCACATAATTGCAAAGATCATAGCCTGGATCAAGTGCACCTTAGTCTCCATCCTGATGTTGTTGCTCTTCAGTACTCTTGAGAGGTCCCTCACAGCTGACTTTCCCAATGCAATTTGTCTCTTCATTTCTTGGCTGCTGTTACCAAGAGTGTTGACTGTGGGCAGCATGATATGGTCAGAAAGATATCCTGATGGCTTGAAACTTCGGCCATCACATCAGGGACTCATCAATGGGAGACGAATGTTGAATGTTGTAAGCAAAAGTAGGAAGGGTTGATGGTGGAGTAGGGAAAGGGTGGATTAAAAAAAACAAAAGCAAAACCAAAAAAACCAAACATGTAGCAGGGTGGGCAGCAACATTGAATTTAATTCTATACTTTTGATATTACGTTGAATTCATTACTAACTCAATCAACAAATACTCAGGATTTAGAACTGAAACCTTGTGTATATTGTGGTATTGGCCAAGTATATTCATGTAAAACTTACTGGCTAACTCAAAGCCCACCCCTCTCTGGTCATTCAAAAGCCCCAGCAGCTCTGAGTAAGAAAGGTGGACAGTCTCCTTCCACGTGGTTTCCAGGCTTGGAAACTCAGTGGCAGGTCAACTCTAGGTAGGTTCCAACTGGAGGACGATGGGAGAGCTGAGGAGGGTGGAATATGAAAAGATTGCTTGTGTTACTGAAAAAGATCTTTCAGAGAGACCTCACTGGGGTGCGGTGGGTGATGAAGCCCAGGGGGTTCTGAAGTTGCTTTGACTTAATGACTGTTCTCCCTTGGTTGTTTTCACAGACCATAAACAGGACTGGAGAATGTCCCTCTGAAAATTTGCCTTGAATGAAGAAACTTCATTGAACAAGAAGTTGGCTTCGAGTTTGCACAGGCGCCAATGGAATGCTTTCTTGATTTTTTTAATTTTTCTTTTTTCACTTTCTACTTTATCCAATGAAAACAAAGGTGTTTTTATGTGCTGTGCAAATGGTTCCTTCATGTGGTCTGACAATTTTATTTTTATGGTCTTTTTTTTTTAAAAAAAAAAAAAGAAAAAAATCTCAGAAGAGGAGGAGAAAAGAATAAACAAAACCTACCAACGCAAACATCAAAGGTTGGCATTTTATCTGGAAGAACATTTAAATTCAGAATTCATTGAACGTGTAGTTAGGGAGGTTTTGGTTTTGTTTCTTAATTAGGCAGAATATCAAGAGTTGGGCAAGGAGAAATGGAAAGAAATGGTCTTCCTGAGTAATTAAGCTACTTTCTTTCCTTCTTGTTTAAATCGAGTGGGATGTTTTGTTTGTTTGTTTCATTGTGTTTTTTGCCTTGTTTTATGTTATTTTTCTTAAGAAATTTTAGGTAAGATTTATCTTGAATCTTAATTGCCTTAATTTTAAGGACGTCAAAGGCTGTCGAGGCAAGCTGTCAACGTCTTGTTAAAAAAAAAAAAAATCACAGAAGAATTGAAAAATGGTTCCGGCTTTCACCGGTACAGACGTTTAAGACTATGAGTTTTTAGGATGGAAACAAAAAACCTGTACAGTTTAAGAGAAAATGTTTTTCTTCATTTGAAGAAAATGTGTTGATAAGAGAAACCATGGCAACTGCAAGAATTGGGAAAATGCTGGGACTTTTCATGAACTTTGTCTTAACGGTTGCCACGAATCACTCTAGAAGGCTAAACATTTTATGGTAAAGTTATAAATGTTGGTTTAAAAACAGTTGCATTAGAAATAATGCGTGTTTGGGGGGCAGAATGCAGATTTTTTTAATTTACAAAGCGTGATCGCTAGCAAAAGCATTAGTGCTTTTTACCTGCAGTCTTTTTTATGAGCTTTACAAAGTTTTTAGTCAGCTTTGCTTGTCACATTGCAAAAGTTAGCTTAAGAGCATTAAAAAACTTAAGTAGATAGGAGCTTATGGTCAAAAAGTGCAAAAAAAAAACCACAAAAAACAAACAAAAAAAGCAATAGATAGAGAAATTGTTGACAATTTCTGTAGTCTTTCCTAGTTGTGATCGAATTTAGCCTATGGATGGCCTATTTTATACCAAAGATGAAGTGACACCCTATTGCAGTCAAGAAGCTAGAAGTTGGTTTTTGTTTTGTTTTTTTAAAAAATTTATTTGACCTACATGGCCGGACCAGTTCTTCTTTTACTGTTTGTTTAAACTATCTTCCACTGGTGTTTTACGTACTGAAAAAAATTTTTTTTCTTCACTGTATATTTGTTAATAATACAAAGTTTCACCCACTACATTCAGCTGTCCCAGATGGAGAATTAAGGATGCCAATTCACAGGGCTAAATGACTTTATTAAGTTCCATGAGCTTTTCTGGTTCCTTGCTAGTTCTTTTAAGTAGTGAGGCCTGTGCTGATGGCCACCAGTAAGCCAAGACGACACTGTTTTGGGGACTGAATTTTATGTGAATTTTAAACTGAAGACGCTTCCTGGTCTGAAAGGTCACTTGTCCAAAAGCTTAGTGATATTCTGTGCAATGGTGAGTGGTTTCCTGAAAAAGGTCTCATCATCCTTGTAATGATAGACTTCCTTTAAATCCCGACACGTCTGCATTTTGTCTCCTCACCAAGTCCTTGTCCTTATCTAGCAAGATTAGTCACTTTGATTCTGCAATTGGGGAAAGGGTACTTTCTTTTCTGCCTCTTTTCTTTATATTTCCATATCCTGGTGTTGTCAGAAAGACAGACAAAATAGACCTTTTTAATCTCAATTTTAATTCTCTGAGGCGAGTAGGATCAGTAAGATTGAGTATTATGTTTGTGGCGTTTACATGAGCTCTTAAAATGCTAGTTGACAATCAAGAAATTATCTGATTCATATCAATAAGAACCAAAAGAATTAAGTTTAATCAATCATTAAAGCCAAAGGAGATGTATTTGCATTTAGAATGATGCAAAATTTTGTCTAAAATGAATTCAATTGACTTACCTGGAAAGCATCTCTGCATGTTTGATTCATGAAGTCTTGGTTGAGTCGGTACAGTTCTACAGTAATTAAGGGCAATTTATTAGTTGAATCACTCAATGGAATTGCTTTCTGAATGAATCATCAAGATCAAATGAATGAAACCCTATTCACATGGTAAATAAGTCGCAGACACAGACCTTAGTCCACACAGAGCTGAGGAGAATGCCTTCGGTGCTCTGTCAAAGAAAGCAGGACAGACTATTTTATATGAGCAAAGTCAAAAGGTACATCTTAGTCACATGATTTGAACAGGAATTTAAAAAAATAAAAACTGATACTGATTTTATGAAATTGTCAATATTCCACTTTTGATGCCCTATTAAACAATGGTCCAGTCTTGTATGATACCTGTTTCTTTTATTTGCAACCCATGAAATGGAAGCTCTAATAAAAAAATATCTTTTCATTAAAATTAGAAGTGAAAATGTATCCAGAAATATGTAGCATCGACTACCGAGAAATTCCAGATGGCCACCTTATCTTTGTACTTTTTTTCCATGCTTTTGAGAGAATTCTAGATTTACACTTTCTTCCATTTCATTTTTACCTCCTCACGTACTCTAAGAGTGACACTTTAATCTTTGAAAAGTGGGCCCCCAACTTCAGGGGGGACAGGGAAGCATGTATGGGAACGCTGGATTTTGTTCCTCTCTTCACGCTTTGAACTCTTTGTATAAATAAGGATTCTCCTGGGCATGATTCACTTAAATATCAAAACAACACATTTTCATTTGTTTCTGTACAAATATATGTATATATATATAAATGTGATACAAAGAGTCTCATTTACACAATCAACAATGAGGCTAAGAGGTAGCTACCATGTGGCTGACGAATGTGCCTGGGTACCTCCCTGTTTCTAGTCAGAACTGCTGCTTTATTTATACATTCAGAAACATTCTTTTTCAACTTTGGAATTTCAATAATCTCCCTTTTGTTAAGCCACTTCAGGCGAAAGGAAATAACTCGTCATTGAATGTGTCCATGTACATTTTGTTTGGATTGTTTATGTCATTGCCATTCTGTTCAAACCCGAAAAGGAAAATGGGCGCTTGTTCAAAGTTATTCCCCTTTGTTTGTCAGCTTCTTTTACAAGAGTCAAGTCCGGGGAGGGGGGAAGAAATAAATCAACAGGTAAGCTGTGTAATGTATCAAAGTCCAAGTCACAGTATGTCTTCAATATATTCAGATATGAGGATACCAACTTAATCAAAAATATACCTTTGGGTGGTTTTAATCCTCCTTGGGAGTGTAATCATGTGTAAAAAGGTTGAAGCTAATTTTTCTTGTGTTCAGGTACACCAGACTTTCAAACATTGATTTGGTTTCTGCTTTTGACTTCAACTGTAAAATCTTAACGTAAACATCAGGAAACAAACAAATAGGATAAACACTGTGTCCTCCACATGGTCAGTGAGTGAGTTGACTGCCTTTTCCCAATGATGCGGTGGTGTTGTCAAGGGAGGGCAAATTGGCATAAGTTGCTGGGTGCTTCCCAGTGCATGAGCAGTTCTTCCAGAGAAAACAGAATTTCCCCTACTCTGTCTAAAGCAAAATGCTGGCAAACCCTGGGGAGAGGGAGAGTTTATTCTTCAACACTGGCAATACTGAACACTGTCAAGTGGCATAATATTCCAGAAGTATCCTCTAGGCCTGGCCCCTCCCCAACACCATGCCAAAGTGCATGAGATAAGGTGTCACCACAGGCCTCCCTTGGGCAAAGACTTCCTGCTGAGAAAGGTCAGATAGAGAAGGAGAGACCTTCGGAGACAGATTGGCACAGTGAAGGCAACGATAGGTGTGAGTATGGCAGGGATTGTGAAGATAGCACAGGACAGGACAAGGTCAAGATCTGTTGTTCACGGGGTCTTTATGAAGCATAGTCAACTTGATATCTAACATCCACACCTGACTCCAGTTTGGCAAGCGCCAGCTTGTTGCTTTGGTACATTGCAACTATCCCGGATAGTGTCCCCCTGGGTCACCTGAACTAATTCTTGTTGTGACCTTTGCAATTCTTGATGTGCCACATTTTAACAGCAGATGAGACTCCGCTACCCCATTCTACTGAAACACTACACAGGGTTAAAAGCACTCACATGATCCACAGATGACTTAGATTGGAATAGATGGACCGTCAAAGGAAGAAGTCCACACCACCTCACAGTCTCTGCAAGACACTTTGTCCCTCCTTTGCCAAACTACTTTAATTGCACTTTCAATTATATATGATCCCAAAGAAGTATTTAGTTCCTTCATTCTAAATTCATGGGAATAATTGAGATGTTTATTATATATCTATGTATCTTTGGAACGATCTAATTTCAAAAATCCCCATTAGTGAATTCAATTTAAATAGGAACCTTGCAATCTTTTTCATGATGGAATGGGCTGTCTCCACAAATTATATGGTATTAATAGGAAATTAAAAATACATTTGACAGCTTGGCCACAGTTTTGAGTCCATGAACCACTGTGGGTGAGATGTTAACTAGAGAGGAATCTTCATGTGGTTTCAGTATTAAGTGCTTTTTTTTTTACTTGGTTAAAAGAGATGATATTTTTGCATCTGTATAAGCGTATTCAGCACATTGAGGAAAATAAACATAATAAAAGGTTTAAATATATTATGGAACCTTGATCTGTATTATCTTGTCCACAGAAGGGAGTAAATGATGGAATCTTATTTTTCATGTTAATGTGACTGGCATGATTTGAAATTTTGAGCTCCCTGGGACTGGACAGCCTCTTATCCCAATCTGAGGGATTGACAGAATTTAAACAGGCTGATTGATTCATTACATTATGCCTTTCCTGTGGCAGAATGAGAACATTAGTGAATAAATTCGTCTTACAAATGACATCTACTGTGAGCCTCAGAAGAGAATTTGGTCAGCTTCAAGTTTAGTGTTTCTTATCAAAAATTCTTAAATACTGAATTGGTCCCTTCAACCAAGTGAGGTTGGCCAATATAGTGTTCAGTAAAGGGCAGAAGGTAAGCACTAAATCTTTGACTCTAAAGACTCTTCTG